CAAACTAAATATAATATAATACTTAACTTTAAAATTTTAATAAAATGTAAAAATATCCATTAATAATAACAAGTTTACATGTAGAATAAAAATATCAAATTAATATAATATAAATTATAAAAAACTAAAAAATAAAAAATAAAAATAACTAAATGATTAAATTATATTTATAAAACAAGTATTAAAAGTAATTTATTCTATATTAATAATTTTTTATTAATTATGTATTTTTATTAAAAATAATTAAATTAAAATTAAAAATTAAAAATTTTAATTAGATTGGTTCAAACCAATTTGATTGATTCTACCAATTTTTCATTGATTTGTTACAAAATGATTTTTTAGCTAATTGAACCAGCTAGGACTGGTTCTCAATAAAACTCTCGGACCATCTAATTTGATCTAATTTAGTTTTATTAGTTTACACAATGAACAAAATAAGAAGAAATTAAGATACAAGAGAAGTTATTCATGTTTTGTTTTCTTAGGACATTTATGGTTCTTTTTATATTTTGAATTTTATGATGATTGTGTGAGTAAAATTTTGTTTGTATTGAGTGTTTTTAAGTGAAATTTTACCTTTTTTTGTTGATGTTTGATAATTTTATTTATTAAAACACTAAGTTTTATTTTAAAGTTGTATACTAAATAATGTATGTGTGTTAGTAATGCTTTATTAGGATATTAATCACTTTAAAAATATATAAATTTAATTATTTTCAAAATAAAGAAATAAATTCTTTTTATTATGTATGTGTGTATAAATAAGTAAAATTAAATATTGAATCATGCAAAATTATATAGATATATATGATCAGAGCTAAATTATACATTACAAGAAAAATGTAAATTTCTGACGGAAAATTTCCGACGGATATGGATCCATCGGAAATTTCCGACGGATTTATATTTCCATCGGAAATTTTCGTCAGAAATTTTCCGTCGAAAATTTCCGACAGAAATATAAATCTGTTGGAAATTTCTGACAGAAACTTTCCGACGGAAAATTCTGTTAGAAATTTCTGACGGAAAAATAAATCCGTCAGAAATTTTTGTTGGTATTATTCAACATTATTCCTGCAGGTTTAATTGTATCATTAAGTGTATGTTTGGATATTTATTTATACATTTGCAAACCGAAATTCCCTCTTCTTAGTGCTCTAAAATAGAAAGTAATATCATTTTGTAATTTCTCCGTTGAATGTAAATTTGGTGAGTTTAAACAATAAACCACACTGAAGAAGGAAATATTTACTTTTGGAGGCTTTTTAACTCTAGATTTATAGTTAAATTTAATTAAATCTCAAATGTTGATCATGGAAATAAATTGAAAAGAATTGGAAAGAAATTGTGAAAGAGAAGAATAAAGTAAATTGAAATGAGTGAAAACGTAAATCAAAAGTGGGCAAATGATATCGAATTAAAATGAGAGGAAAAAAAAAAAAAAAAAAA